TTCTGTCCGACTAGTTGGGTAGTACTAAAACAATTAGACCCTTCGCCCTCAAGGGCCACGGGTCAATAGCCCATTCAGCTTCGCCTCATGGGCTATTGAACCGTAGCCCTTGCGGGCTACGGGTCTAATTGTTAATTAGCATTTACATTACTTCATTTGCTTTGGATATAGAAGGGGAGCAGGGATGGTGCAGTGGTGAGAGCGCTCGCCTTCCACCAATGTGTCCCGGGTTCAATTTACGGACCCAGCGTCATATGTGGGTTGAGTTTGTTGTTGGTTCTCTTCTCTGCTCTGAGAGGTTTTTCTCTGGGTACTCCGGTTTCCCCTCTCCTCAAAAACCAACAATTCTCAAATTCCAATTCGATCCTTGAATGCACGGACATTTCTGAATGAGTTCTGTGAGCTCCTTGGTGCTCCATGGGTAAACAAATTACATTTATATTTATTTACATTCTACATTTTTTATAAACTGTATAAATACCTGCATGGAGTGTCCTCCAGAAGATCAATAGCTGAGGTGTTTGATATCTCAATACTGTGAACACTGCCAAAGAAATCTGTGACCAGAACTTTAGCAGGGTCCCTTCTAAATAAGTCGGACCTCATTCCAGGTGTGGATATCACCAAAGCTGGTTTGGTATATTTAAACTAGAAGAACATACAAAAGTCAAGCAAGGTACACATTAAGTAAAACATGTCACTCAACATAAGGAAAAAAGAACAGAATAATATTAAGAATAAATATCTCAATTGACCACTTCAACTTAAAACTATCAGTACTCACTAACTCTCCTACAGTGGCTTTGCTGTTGGGAGTGACACCTTCCAAAAATTGAAGCACGTAATAGGTATATCTGTCAATCACATGCACTCCAATGGCTGGGTCTTCATGATGCTAAGAAATTATGTTGACAATGATGAAGTTGTTCAATGTTCATGTTCATTCCAATGAGGTGTCAAACACTGGTAATGAGTTCAGTGTCTGTTCAAAGCCTGAACTCATTACCAGTGTTTGACACCTCATTGGAATGAACATGAACATTGAACAGCTATTCTTAATCTTAATTTATTCAATGATGAAGTTATTAATTAATTAATGTATATGCATTTATGGTAGTAAAAGTCTGTACCATAAATTTCAACACTGATATCTTCAGTGATGCAATCGTCATTCACTGTACCCAAACTCTATGCCAACTCTTTTACCTCCCACCAAACATTTAACTACATATAGCCCAGGGTTCAATTCTCTATGGCATCATATTACATGGGTTCAATTTTTTTTTAGTTCCCTCCCTTGTATTTCTTGCAGGTCCTCTGGTTTCCATCTTGGCTACAAAAAACAAAATTTCCAAATCCCAAACGTCTGATCAGGATAGACGACTATCAACTACACCTGATCTGGCCTTCCCCTCTAAATAAAGTAATACTTTACTGAGTCCTGCACAATAGCCAAGGGGACTGGTCATTCTCTTTTATTTGAGATGCTGCCCAGTCCCCCTTAGCCCTCATGCAGGACACAGCGTTTTTATTATTTTCTTATTTCTTAAATTAAAACAGTAATAAGGTATACTCACAGAAAGGGAGTCCTCTCCCACTAAACTGCTACCAACAGCAAGAATGTTTGGCGAGTACAGTTTTTGAGTCATGGAATATGCTTGGCAAGTATCCACAATTAAGAAAACCTCATTATACCTGAAAAGGATAGTAAATACTGATTGGTACATGCAAGGAGATGTGCTAGCAAAAACAAAATTAATAGCCTATGAAAATCCATTTTTCCTTTAATTTGCAGAAATTTAATCCAGTTGTTACCGTCTTTTCTGCCACATTTGTTCAAAGGCATCTGCCAGCTCAACACTTGTTATCTCCTCAGCATCTTGAAACTTGAGAAAGCCATCACCACCATGTCCTGGAAACAAAACATCACTTATAGCATCAGCAATTGCAGGTTACAAAGTACACAACAAGGATTATACTGATGACAACATAGATCTGTGAAAAAAATACAGTAAATCATCTGGTCGGCCTACCACCAGTTGGGATTCTTTTTACCAATAGTTTATGTGCTATTCAAAATATTCGTTTATTTATTTACAGTGTTCCCAAACAGTACAATAGTGCTAAATACATTTGACACTCAAATAAAATTATGTATGTGCATCATGTGATTACCCAGTTTGTTTTAAAAGACCACATTCAAATCAAAGTCTTAGTCTAGGATGGCTATGAAATGCACCAACTATACAAAACACTTGTAAACAAAGAGTTTTAATGAAAAGCCATATTCTGTTATTGACATATATGTGTCTGATTTATTTATAATATTGCAGTTTTAATAGTGTACAATAGCAGCCACTTGCCAGGAAATAACTTTGTTGAAGCTATATATTAAAAAAAAGTCCAACGAATTCAGAAAGTGATCTGTAAGACTTTTAAAAGAAGCCATGATTCAACTGAGAATTTAAGAGTTCATTTACCACAAAAGATGTTTACCTGGCCACTAACCTGTCATATAGACCAGAATATTGCTTCTCTCATCTGAAAGCAACCTCTTGGACCTTGGCACACTGGGTGGCAAGCGACCTGTTGAGGCAGAACAATAAAAACACAATGAAACACCATTACTTACAATGCCATTTTGGTCTCTGAAAGTCTATACATTAATAGACTGTATTAGTATAAATCTAGTCTAGTGTTCTATTATGAATGCGTTCGCTGATTGGCTACACTACTCACTATCTATGTAGATAGCGAGTAACGTAGCAGTGTGCGCTTGAAACGAACTGGTGGCCACTTATTTGCGTTTCTGAAGTGTCTGTGAAGACGACATTATGAAAAAGTTTGGAATGAATAGTAGATTTATACTAAAACAATTAGATTATTTGTTCTCAATTTCTATTTGCACCCTCATCAACTATCATGTGATGGAAATCTCGAGCTCATAATCTAATTGTTTATTAGAAGCCTTTGTGCAGTCAGAAAGGCTAGTAGCTCATTCTGTGTACTGTAGGAAAAAATGACTTGAGTTGATAATGTTTCAGTGGCTTTACCTGTCAAGATTCTAATAAAATTCTCCACTGTTACCTGCAAATTAACAACATTAATCAGCACACAAGTCCATCAATTTAACACGTAGTAACCCATATTGTGCAGGGTACCATGAAGAAAGTTATAATAGATTAATGAATCATATGAATTAATTATGGATCAAAACGTTTTTGTTATTTCACAAAGTATTGTTGTGTGGACTTTTTATTTAGCAACAAAGTGTTTTTTGTTCTAATTTTAAAATTATATTAGGAAAAAAAAAGGTTGCATATGGTAAGCATAGTAAAGATAGAGTCAAGAAAGATGTAAATCATATATTTTGTTGACATGCTTGACAAGTTCCCCAGTTATAATTTAAGTATCAACTAAAAAGAGTTTCAAAAGTATGCTATAGGGACAAACAAGTCAGTTTGATTCTGGCACAAATCAAGAGCCTAAATTTAAGTGGCATGCCTGTGAACTAGTTACGTGTAGTTAAGCGCATTGACCAATATAAACAACAACATTTGAACATTTTTTTTTTTAACATAAGGGTTATGGCATATTGGCATATTATTATTTACTAGGTTCTGCTAGGTTTTGCTTCTCAAAGTGGTGGCTTTAAGGCCTTTAAAACAAAAGACAACTGAAATATGATATGATAATAAGACAATCAAAAGACATTGCCCTTTGGACAGTGTACCTCATATCCTCTGTAATCCACTTCAATATCATCACCATAAACATTGATGTGCTGGTTTGCATTATTGAACACTGTTCCTATGGATAGACAGGGCTACACTTCAGTTAGGTCTTGAGAGTTAATGCTGTGTATTACTTAAATTGTGAAACATCAGTATTTAGTGCATACATTCACATGTACTCAGTTAAGTTTATTTACTTAAAGTGCCTATGAAGTAAAAAATAATTGCTGCTGATTTGAAAGGCTTTTCAAAGTAAAGAAGGATGGCGTTTTCCTTTTTGGAATATCTTTTTTCGTTTTAGAGATATTCACGTTTTTGTATTATAAGTGATGACGTCATAGGTGGTTCCACTAAAAC